CTGAGTGTTAGAGACCAAGCCAGAGACTGAGCCTGAGTGTTAGAGACCAAGCTAGAGACTGAGCCTGAGTGTTAGAGACCAAGCCTGAGACTGAGCCTGAGTGTTAGAGACCAAGCTAGAGACTGAGCCTGAGTGTTAGAGACCAAACTCTTTGGTTCTATTGGGTAAAGTCACGTAGGTAAAACATAAAATAACAAAAATCACGACGTTTCGGCCACAACACAAGCGGCCTTCATCAGGTGAAGGGACGAGACTGTCTGGAGGACAGCGCTGGAGTGAAAAAAGCCACGCTCAGATCACGACCTTTAAGCTGTGTGAGAAGAAACAAATTAAGCAACCATTGGAAAGATGTTCTAAATCGAACTAAACATTAAACTAATTTCATTGGTACAGTATATTTTTCAAGTAGTGGTACCCCAAACTTTCGCAGCTCTTATAAATTCCCTTTTCACACCATCAATAGGTAAACTCCCCCCACGCGCCAAACGGCCAGTCCACCAGCACGTACACCACCTCTTTTCTATAATCGGCCAATCAAATGCTAATTTTTATGCTAATTTCTTTGTCAGGACACCTTGTTTGCTCGCACACAGCTTAAAGGTCCGCGGTCTGAGCGTGGTTGTGTTTCGCTAAATTCTCCTGTTTGATTTGTACTAGGTGCCTCGGTGAATGTATATGCTCTGACTTTAACATAGCTATTTCTGTGACCAGTTACAAGCTAATCACTCAGCTATTTCAATGCTAAATTCTATGCTAATTCCTTTGTCAAGGGGTGCCTCTGCGGATGTGTATACTTTAACTTAGCTATTTCAATGCTAAATTCTATGCTAATTCCTTTGTCAAGGGGTGCCTCTGCGGATGTGTATGCTTTAACTTTAACATAGCCATTTCAGTGACCAGTCACAAGCTAATCACTCAGCCATTTTAATGCTAAATGATATGCTAATTCCTTTGTCAAGGCGCTTTGTTTCTTCTCACACAGCTTAAAGGTCGTGATCTGAGCGTGGCTTTTTTCACTCCAGCGCTGTCCTCCAGACAGTCTCGTCCCTTCACCTGATGAAGGCCGCTTGTGTTGTGGCCGAAATGTCGTGATTTTTGTTATTTTATTTTTTACCTACGTGACTTTACCCAATTGAACCAAAGAGTATGGATCCTTGCAGTCACGAAAGCTTTAAATCTAGAATTGTTAGAGACCAAGCCAGAGACTGAGCCTGAGTGATTGAGACCAAGCCAGAGACTGAGCCTGAGTGTTAGAGACCAAGCCAGAGACTGAGCCTGAGTGTTAAAGACCAACCAGAGACTGAGCCTGAGTATTAGAGACCAAGCCAGAGACTGAGCCTGAGTGTTAGAGACCAAGCTAGAGACTGAGCCTGAGTGTTAGAGACCAAGCCAGAGACTGAGTATTAGAGACCAAGCCAGAGACTGAGCCTGAGTGTTAGAGACCAAGCTAGAGACTAAGCCTGAGTGTTAGAGACCAAGCTAGAGACTGAGTGTTACAGACCAAGGTAGAGACTGAGCCTGAGTGTTAGAGACCAAGCTAGAGACTGAGCCTGAGTGTAAGAGACCAAGCCAGAGACTGAGCTTGAGTATTAGAGACCAAGCCAGAGACTGTGCCTGAGTATTAGAGACCAAGCCAGAGACTGAGCCTGAGTATTAGAGACCAAGCCAGAGACTGAGCCTGAGTGTTAAAGACCAACCAGAGACTGAGTATTAGAGACCAAGCCAGAGACTGAGCCTGAGTGTTAAAGACCAAGCCAGAGACTGGGCCTGAGTGTTAGAGACCAAGCCAGAGACTGAGCCTGAGTGTTAGAGACCAAGCCAGAGACTGAGACTGAGTGTTAGAGACCAAGCCAGAGACTGAGCCTGAGTGTTAGAGACCAAGCCAGAGACTGAGCCTGAGTGTTAGAGACCAAGCTAGAGACTGAGCCTGAGTGTTAGAGACCAAGCCTGAGACTGAGCCTGAGTGTTAGAGACCAAGCCAGAGACTGAGACTGAGTGTTAGAGACCAAGCCAGAGACTGAGCCTGAGTGTTAGAGACCAAGCTAGAGACTGAGCCTGAGTGTTAGAGACCAAACTCTTTGGTTCTATTGGGTAAAGTCACGTAGGTAAAACATAAAATAACAAAAATCACGACGTTTCGGCCACAACACAAGCGGCCTTCATCAGGTGAAGGGACGAGACTGTCTGGAGGACAGCGCTGGAGTGAAAAAAGCCACGCTCAGATCACGACCTTTAAGCTGTGTGAGAAGAAACAAATTAAGCAACCATTGGAAAGATGTTCTAAATCGAACTAAACATTAAACTAATTTCAATGGTACAGTATATTTTTCAAGTAGTGGTACCCCAATCTTTCGCAGCTCTTATAAATTCCCTTTTCACACCATCAATAGGTAAACTCCCCCCACGCGCCAAACGGCCAGTCCACCGGCACGTACACCACCTCTTTTCTATAATCGGCCAATCAAATGCTAATTTTTATGCTAATTTCTTTGTCAGGACACCTTGTTTGCTCGCACACAGCTTAAAGGTCCGCGGTCTGAGCATGGTTGTGTTTCGCTAAATTCTCCTGTTTGATTTGTACTAGGTGCCTCGGTGAATGTATATGCTCTGACTTTAACATAGCTATTTCTGTGACCAGTTACAAGCTAATCACTCAGCTATTTCAATGCTAAATTCTATGCTAATTCCTTTGTCAAGGGGTGCCTCTGCGGATGTGTATACTTTAACTTAGCTATTTCAATGCTAAATTCTATGCTAATTCCTTTGTCAAGGGGTGCCTCTGCGGATGTGTATGCTTTAACTTTAACATAGCCATTTCAGTGACCAGTCACAAGCTAATCACTCAGCCATTTTAATGCTAAATGATATGCTAATTCCTTTGTCAAGGCGCTTTGTTTCTTCTCACACAGCTTAAAGGTCGTGATCTGAGCGTGGCTTTTTTCACTCCAGCGCTGTCCTCCAGACAGTCTCGTCCCTTCACCTGATGAAGGCCGCTTGTGTTGTGGCCGAAATGTCGTGATTTTTGTTATTTTATTTTTTACCTACGTGACTTTACCCAATAGAACCAAAGAGTATGGATCCTTGCAGTCACGAAAGCTTTAAATCTAGAATTGTTAGAGACCAAGCCAGAGACTGAGCCTGAGTGATTGAGACCAAGCCAGAGACTGAGCCTGAGTGTTAGAGACCAAGCCCGAGACTGAGCCTGAGTGTTAGAGACCAAGCTAGAGACTGAGCTTGAGTGATAGAGACCAAGCTAGAGACTGAGCCTGAGTGATTGAGACCAAGCCAGAGACTGAGACTGAGTGTTAGAGACCAAGCCAGAGACTGAGCCTGAGTGCTAGAGACCAAGCCAGAGACTGAGTGTTAGAGACCAAGCCAGAGACTGAGCTTGAGTATCAGAGACCAAGCCAGAGACTGAGCCTGAGTATTAGAGACCAAGCCAGAGACTGAGACTGAGTGTTAGAGACCAAGCCAGAGACTGAGCCTGAGTGCTAGAGACCAAGCCAGAGACTGAGTGTTAGAGACCAAGCCAGAGACTGAGCTTGAGTATCAGAGACCAAGCCAGAGACTGAGCCTGAGTATTAGAGACCAAGCCAGAGACTGAGCCTGAGTGTTAGAGACAAAGCCAGAGACTGAGTGATAGAGACCAAGCCAGAGACTGAGTCTGAGTGTTAGAAACCAAGCCAGAGACTGAGCCTGAGTGATAGAGACCAAGTCAGAGACTGAGCCTGAGTGTTAGAGACCAAGCCAGAGACTGAGACTGAGTGTTAGAGACCAAGCTAGAGACTGAGCCTGAGTATTAGAGACCAAGCCAGAGACTGAGCCTGAGTGTTAGAGACCAAGCCAGAGACTGAGCCTGAGTGTTAGAGACCAAGCTAGAGACTGAGCCTGAGTATTAGAGACCAAGCCAGAGACTGATTGTTAGAGATTCAGCCAGAAACTGAGCCACGACCTGGAATACGGTGGCCCGAATCTCCGTTTGGAGCTCTGCGGCAGCGGAGCTCTGAGGAGCACTCGCATGGAGGACGGCCCCCAGATGTAGCTTTCCTGCTCACACCTCTGTCGCGTGCGTGCGTTTGTCTTTGTGCGTGTTGGCTTTCGTTGTGCTTTTTTAGTTTTTTCAACGTTTCTGAGGATGGGCCCAAAAAGGTGAAATAGACGAGCAGCAGACGGCGCCGTCAAAGTTTTAATACGTAATATTGCGAAACCTTTTCCTGACCTGAGCAAGGTGATTATTGTCGTAAGAGCTTTGACGGGGGAAAAGCGACGACGACGACAACGACAACGACGATGATGATGATGATGGGAGGAAGGAATTCCACAGTGGAACAGTGCGAGGGGCGATGCAGAGAGAGGTGAGGTGACCTGTAGTGTGGCGAGTAGGTGTGAGTCCCTGTTGCGGGTGAGTGAGTGTAGGGGAGCGGTAGTGTAGCGGTTAGCGTGCTGTGCTACGAACCTGGAGACCCGAATTCAATTCCTGCTCATGGCCAACACCGGTGACGATTATGTGAATGGTTCCTGGGCCTCCCATAGGTCGACTCGGCCTCAAATATGTACCTCGTTCGGTGTGTAAAACATCGCCACTGGGGAGACAAAGGCGGCCGGGCGTGGTGTTGGCCACCCAACCCCTCGTGTGCCGTGCCGGCCTTCATAGGTGCTCTCTAACAGAACTTGCCCCAACTGGTCTGCTCAGGCTATGCAGGGGGTCTTTGTTGCTTGTTGGGTAGCGGTTGGCGCACTGCGCTACGAACCCAGCAGAGACCCCAGTTCGAATCCCGCTCGTGGCCAACACCAGTGACGATTATCCGAACTGGACCCTGGTGGGCCTCCCCTCGGTCGACTCAGCCTCCAAAATGAGCATCCTGTGCAATTTATAGTTTACATCAAAGGTGGCCGGGAATGGTGCTGTCCACCCACCCCCTCGTGTGCGGTGCCTGCGTTCATACAGATCTGCTGCTCGCTAACACTCGCTCGGGATCGTTGTCTTTGACGTGTGTCAGCTGGTGCGGCAAGGAGCAGGTGGTGTCCCTGCTGGCAGAGGGGCTCTGGGTGGAGCTGCTGGACGAGCACCAGCCCCACATCACCGTCTCGGACTGGTGGGTGGCACGGGGGAGCCTCCCTTCACATTCGATGCCCGCGCGCTCCTCCGACCCCGTACCGATCTCGCGGTCGTGCCGCAAACTCCGCCGCTGCTGTCGCTGCCGGCCATCGAACGGGTCCAGTCCCGATCCAACGATAGGCAGCACTCGGGAGAGAACGAGCGTGATAAAGCCAGCCGAGACGGCGATTGGAAATGTTGGGACGATGAATGCAGCTTGAAAGTTGAAAAACACGGCTTCCGATCTAAAGGGATGCCAAGAGTCGGTGCGATGAAGCACACCCAACTGTTGCCAGGCCAGGGGTAGAGAGTGTCTGAGAAAGCCTCCGTTGACTGCCCAATGAACATTGCGTCTTTGCCAGCCTTAGAACAAAGACGCATTCGCCGCCATCGCGCACTTTCAGATGCGCGTCTGCGGCCGTCTGGAATGCTCTTCCCTCCGATGTTAGGAAGCCACTGGAGCTGTGCGCTTTTACGTCATCGTCTCGATTGGCAAACTCATTCTTTTTAGAAGTGCTCTTTGTGCTTAGTTTGTTGTGTCTTCCCCCCTCGCAAGTTACTCCGTTGGGAAACGCACAGCGGCATTCATCACCCCACGCTACCGCCAAAAAAAAACCTCACGGGGCAAGAGTCTTGAGAACCGCTGAGGCTCTCCTGGGCGAACGAGCAATATCAGTCGGTCAACAAACCTGCCTTGGCGTCGTCGGAGATGATCGCGAAAAATTATTTTGTTCATTTGGCATTGGTGCCTTCGCCCTTATAGCGACCGTCAAGAGGAAAGGCGCCGCTGTGTTTCACGTGCGCACAGCCATGGAGCTGCTTCACGGTCGTCGGCAATGCTGCTGCCGCCGCTGCTTTGTGCAATCTCAATTGAGGGATTTACCAGGTGCAAATGAAAGAATCTGGCAAATTTGGACGGTGACGGTAGCACGCGACGTACCTGCCGATGGATTTCGATTTAAAGCTTTCGTGACTGCAAGGATTCATCTTCTTTGGTTCTTTCGGTAAAGTCACCACGTAGAATGAGAATTAAAATAATAAAATAAAACAACACAATTCTCACGACGTTTCGGCCACAACACAAGTGGCCTTCTTCAGGTGAAAGGAACAAAACTGTCGTCCCGACAGGTTTGTTCCTTTCCTACAGAGCTCTGTCGTCCCGACAGGTTTGTTCCTTTCACCTGAAGAAGGCCACTTGTGTTGTGTCCGAAGCGTCGTGAGAAGTTGATTCTTTTATTTTATTATTTTATTCTCATTCTACGTGACTTTACCGAAAGAGCCAAAGAAGATGTACCTACGGATGTACGTTGAACTAGGTTTTCACCGTACCTAGCCAGCCATGCTAATCGGAGGTGCGCAGGGGGAAGGACAACAAACTAAGCGCACAAATAGCAAGTTCTAAAGAAATTAGTTTGTCAAGCTAGACGATTTCATAGTGCGTAACTCCCAGTGGCTTCCTAATATTGGAAGGGATGAGCATTCCAGACGGCCGCCGAAGCAGCCGCATCTGAAAGCGCCGCGTGATGTTGCGGTGACCACCGTCTTTTTTCGACAGCTGAGCCAATGCCAGAGACCACGTCTTAGCGGATGTACGTTGGAACTTCTTTCGCATCGAACGTAGCAAGCCGTGCTGATCGGAGGTGTGTGCGGGGGGGAAGAACAATAAACTTGCACGCAAAAAAAGCAGTTCTGAAGAAATTAGTTTTCAGTCTAGATTTAAAGCTGCGTAGCGACTGGTGACTCACGTGCACACGCAAGAACCCCCCCATAAAACCTTTAACAGACAGTCTCGCTCCCTTCACCTGATGAAGGCCGCTTGTGTTGTGGCCGAAACGTCGTGAGAATATTATTGTGTTATTTTATTTTATCAATTTATTATTTTATTATCATTCTACGTGACTTTACCGAAAGAACCTTTAACAGACTGTTGGGGCAATGCTGTGGTGGCGTGGTTAGTTACGTTGGGACGGTGGCTGTGATGGTGGCGATCGTGACGGTGCTGATGGCGATCGCAACGATGACGCCAATGATGGAGTGGTGGCTGTATGGTTAGGTACGCCACGCTTTGGCTGCGGCTGTGTTGTGAATGATGCTGATGGCGATCGTGGTGATGATATTGACGGCGATCGTGATGATGATGGAGTGGTGGCTGTATGGTTAGGTACACCACACGCTGTGGCTGCGGCTGTGTTGTGAATGATGCTGATGGCGATCGTGGTGATGACGACAGCGATCTTGATGATGATGGAGTGGTGGCTGTAGGGTTAGGTACGCTACACGCTGGGACTGCGGCTGTGTTGTGAATGATGCTGATGGCGATCGTGGTGATGACGACGGCGATCGTGATGATGATGGAGTGGTGGCTGTAGGGTTAGGTATGCCACACGCTGGGACTGCGGCTGTGTTGTGAATGATGCTGATGGCGATCGTGGTGATGACGACAGCGATCTTGATGATGATGGAGTGGTGGCTGTATGGTTAGGTACACCACACGCTGTGGCTGCGGCTGTGTTGTGAATGATGCTGATGGCGATCGTGGTGATGACGACGGTGATCGTGATGATGATGATGGAGTGGTGGCTGTATGGTTAGGTACGCCACACTCTGTGACTGCGGCTGTGTTGTGAATGATGCTGATGGCGATCGTGGTGATGACGACGGCGATCGTGATGATGATGGAGTGGTGGCTGTATGGTTAGGTACGCCACACTCTGGGACTGCGGCTGTGTTGTGAATGATGCTGATGGCGATCGTGATGATGACGACGGCGATCTTGATGATGATGATGATGGAGTGGTGGCTGTAGGGTTAGGTACGCCACGCTGTGGCTGCGGCTGTGTTGTGAATGATGCTGATGGCGATCGTGATGATGACGACGGCGATCGTGATGATGATGGAGTGGTGGCTGTAGGGTTAGGTATGCCACACGCTGGGACTGCGGCTGTGTTGTCAATGATGATGACCACGATCTTAATGATGGAGTGGTGGCGGTGCGGTTAGGTATGCCGCGCGCTGGGACTGCGGCTGCGTGTACGAGCTGAGTGTGACGCTGCTCGCCGAGGACAAGAGCCGAGTCCTCGCGCGCTTCGACCACAAACCCAAGCCCATCCCGCAGTGGAGTGACGCTTGCTGGAACCAGGTGAGGGCCCGCAGCCTGTAACCCGTCGCCACCGCACGGCAGTCGCTCGCTCTCCAAGAGCGAGGTAGAGCGACAGAGCGAAACAGAGAGAGAGTGAGCGACAGAGCGAAAGAGAGAAAGAGTGAGTGAGAAAGATAGCGTTAGTGAAAGAGAGAGCGAAAGAGAGAGCGAGAGAGGGAGCAAGAGAGAAAGATAGAGTTAGTGAAAGAGAGAGCGAAAGATAGAGTGAGAGAGGGAGTGAGAGAGAGAAAGATAGAGTGAGCGAGAGAGAGAGAGCGAAAGAGAGAGCGAGAGAAAGAGTGAGTGAGAGAGGGAGCGAGAGAAAGAGTGAGAGAGAAAGAGAGCGAAAGAGGGAAAGAGAGAGCGAGAAAGAGAGAGGGAAAGAGAGTGAGAAAGAGTGAGCGAGAAAGATAGAGTGAGCGAGAGAGAAAGAGTGACCGAAAGAGTGAGCGAGAGAGAGAGAGTGACCGAGAGAGTGAGCGAGAGAGCGAAAGATAGAGTGAGCGAGAGAGTGAGCGAGAGAGAGAAAGATAGAGTGAGAGAGAGAGTGAGCGAGAGAGAAAGATAGAGTGAGCGAGAGAGAGAGTGAAAGAGAGCGCGAGAGAAAGAGTGAGCGAGAGAGGGAGAGAGAAAGAGTGAGAGAGAAAAAGAGCGAAAGAGGGAAAGAGAGAGGGAAAGAGAGAGCGAGAGAGAGAAAGAGAGAGGGAAAGAGAGAGCGAGAAAGAGTGAGCGAGAGAGAAAGAGTGACCGAGAGAGTGAGCGAAAGATAGAGTGAGCGAGAGAGTGAGCGAGAGAGCGAAAGATAGAGTGAGCGAGAGAGTGAGCGAGAAAGAGTGACCGAGAGAGTGAGCGAGAGAGAGAGAAAGAGAGAGCGAGAGAGAGAGCGAGAAAGAGTGAGCGAGAGAGAAAGAGTGACCGAGAGAGTGAGCGAGAGAGAGAAAGATAGAGCGAGAGAGAGAGTGAAAGAGAGCGCGAGAGAAAGAGTGAGCGAGAGAGGGAGAGAGAAAGAGTGAGAGAGAAAAAGAGCGAAAGAGGGACAGAGAGAGGGAAAGAGAGAGCGAGAGAGAGAAAGAGAGAGGGAAAGAGAGAGCGAGAAAGAGTGAGCGAGAGAGAAAGAGTGACCGAGAGAGTGAGCGAAAGATAGAGTGAGCGAGAGAGTGAGCGAGAGAGCGAAAGATAGAGTGAGCGAGAGAGTGAGCGAGAAAGAGTGACCGAGAGAGTGAGCGAGAGAGAGAGAAAGAGAGAGCGAGAGAGAGAGCGAGAAAGAGTGAGCGAGAGAGAAAGAGTGACCGAGAGAGTGAGCGAGAGAGAGAAAGAGAGAGCGAGAGAGAGAGTCCGACTCGGAGGTTGCGAGAAGGCAGCAGGGTGGTGGTGGAGCTGGCGGTGGTGGTGGTGGTGGTGGCGGCGGCGGGTCGTCCCATTCACCAAGCCGATTTCGGCGTTATTTTTTTTATTTAGAGGCGTAGAAGCAGCAGCAACGTTGCTTTCCGAAAGACGTTGTTCCTCACACAACGCAGAGAAATGCAGCGGCACGACCGCCGCCACTACGATAGCCGGCGCCAAAACTGCGCCATACACGCGCCCTACCGCATGGCCTTGTGGGAGCCTCGTTACCGATGGAGGTTATTTTTCTTTGTTTTCTTCCAGTTCCGTTTGTAAGAAATACCGATGACAGACACAGGCGTGGCGCTGGCCACGCCCCCCTCGTGTGTCGTGCTGGCCTGAATAGCTGCTCGCAAACGGCACTTGTACCAAGAGTCTGTTAAGGCTATCCGGGGGATCTTTGCGAGTGAACGGATGAGTGGGTGGATGAATGGGTAAGTCGGTGGGTGGGTCAATGGGTGGGTGGGTAGGTGAGTGAGTGGGTGAATGAATGGATGAGTGGGTGAATGGATGAGTAGGTGAGTGGGTGGGTTGTGGTGGGTGAGTGGGTGAATGGGTGAGTGGGTGAGTGAGTCGGTCGGTGGGTGGGTGAGTGAGTGGGTGGATGAATGGATGAGTAGTTGGGTGGGTGGGTTGGTGAGTGGGTGGATGAATGGGTGAGTGCGTCATGGGCAGGTGGGTGAGTGGCTAAGTGAATGACTGAGTGAGTGCGTGGATGAAGACTGAGGAGGTGAGTCGGCCGGTGGTTGGGTGGATGGGTGAGTGAGTGGCTTAGTGAATGGCTGAATGAGTGGGTGTGTCCTGTGCAGGTGAGCCATGTACTCACGAACAGCCCCAAGAATCTGTTAAGGCTGCACGGGATTTTTTTGAGTGAATGCATGAGTGGGTGGATAAATGGGTCAGTGGGTGGGTGGGGTGGGTGGATGAATGGCTCAGTGAGTGGGTGAATTAATGGATGAGGAGATGGGTGAGTGAGTGAGTGAGTGGATGGGTGGGTGAGTGAGTGGATGGGTGGGTGGATGAATGGCTGAGTGAGTGGGTGGATGATTGGGCGAGTCAATCAGTGGGGTGGGTGAGCGGGTAAGCAGTTGGGTGAGTGAATGGCTGAGTGAGTGAGTGAGTGGATGCATGGGTGAGTGGGTGGGTGGGGGTGGGGTTGGTGGGTGAATGGCTCAGTGAGTGGGTGAATGAGTGGGTTCGTGAGTGGATGGGTGGGTGAGTGAGTAGATGAGTGGGTGAATGAATGGCTGAGTGGGTGGATGAATGGGCGAGTCGATTGGTTGGGTAGGTGAGTGAGTGAGTGAGCCGGCGGGTGGGTGGATGAATTGCTGAGTGAGTGGGTGGATGAATGGGCGAGCCGGCCGGTGGGGTGGGTGAGTGAGTGAATGGCTGAGCGAGTGGGTGGTTGAGTGGGGGTGAGTGGGTGCGTGAGTGAGTCGGTGGGTGGGTTAGTCAGTGGCTGTGTCCTGCGCAGGTGAGCCACGTGTTCCGCGACTACGGGCCCGGCGTGCGCTACCTGCGCTTCGAGCACTCGGGCAAGGACACGCAGTTCTGGGCCGGCTGGTACGGGGCCAGGATGACCAACAGCAGTGTCACCGTGGGCATGCACTGAGAGGCTCACGGCAGCCTCCTGCTGCAACGCGCCCGGATGCGAACCTCCAGAGTGTGTGCAGAAGCGGAGCGCTGCAAAGGCGGCACCACAATCCCGACACTGGAGCCGTGCAGCAAGAAGCGCCTGGCTTCGATTCCCAACTCGCACGCTTTTCAGTTTTTATTGGACGTTGTACGTTCTCTCTCCCCGCTCTTCTGCTGGGAGAGAGAATGTACCACCTCCGATTTAGTATTCTTGGCTACGTACGGTGCGAAGGAAGTTCAGCATACATGACAATATTCCAGCGTTGTTCATGAGGGATACGTTCTGGAGGTGCTCGTGAATGGCACATTGTGCGGATAATGATATTGGCCTACGAAAAAACTATCCTTTAATCAATTACCTTATATAAATACGTAAATAAGCGAATAACTATGACAGTCATCTCATCACTTTATCTCGTTACTTTCATCACTTTATCTCTCCACTTTATCACTCATCACTTTATTTCATTTTATCTCTCTTCACTTTATCACTCATCACTTTATTTCATTGTATCTCTCATCACTTTATCTCTCGTGACTTTATCTCTCATCGCTTTATCTCTCATCACTTTATCAATCATCACTTTATCAATCATCACTTTATCACTCATCACTTTATCACTCATCACTTTATTTCATTTTATCTCTCATCACTTTATCTCTCGTGACTTTTTCTCTCATCGCTTTATCTCTAATCACTTCATCTCTTATCACTTTATCAATCATCACTTTATCAATCATCACTTTGTCTCTCACCGCTTTATCTCTCATCACTTTATCTCTAATCACTTAATCTCTTATCACTTTATCAATCATCACTTTGTCTCTCACCGCTTTATCTCTCATCGCTCTCGCTCTCTCTCTCGACGCAGCAGTCGTGTGGAGCTCCAGATGCAATTCGCTAATAGCCACAATTGCGAATAGCGAGTTCGTGAATAACGATGGAATACTGTACATACATGCAGAGTGTGCGCGAGTGTGTTTAAGGGGAGCGGTGGAGCAGTGGTTAGCGCACTGTGCTACGAACCTGGCTACACGGGTTCGATTTCCGCTCACGACCAATATCGGTGGCCAATATTTGGAGTAGCTTGGGCCTCGCTGGGTCGACTCTGTCTCAAATGAGTACCTGGCGCGGTATGTAAATGAAAGGTACATAAACATCAGCACTAGGCAGACGAAGGTGACCTGCTGTGGTGCTGGCAAACCACCCCCCTCCCTCGTGTGCCGTGCTGACCTTCATTGATACTCATCCATAAGAGTTTTGTTTTTCATTGGTACTGCTTGCAAACAACACTTGCCCCCTGCAGTCTGTTAAATGTTATACGGAGTGGTGGGGTGTCCTTGTCTCTGTGCGAGTGTACGTAGAGTTACAACGTTTCTCTCCATGTTCTGCGATTTGTTTCCACTGGGTTTTCCAGTTTCTTCCCACAGCTAAACACGTAGTAGTAGGAGGCTTTCACGACCAATATTATCTATAATAGTTTTTTTGGGGTTAGACCTTTTGGGGTTAGACCACAAATATAAATGTGTCAATAAACCCGCCACCATCCGACACAGCCAATTAGTAAGATTTGTCACGTGAACGAAACGTGCCAATTCGTTACTAGTTCAGCACTAATTACTCTCCAGCTACAACCGGTGTGTTGGAGAGTCACGAATTGCCAGTTTTGTTTACGTGACAAACCTTGACTAATTGGCTGTGTTGGGCGGTGGTGGGTTTTTAACGACACATTTATATTTACGCGATGTAACCCCCCATAAAATAACAACCTGTTGTGGATGCTGTAACGGGCATTGGCCAAACATTCACAATTATGAAGAAAATACAACAAAAAATCTCAACAAAAATCATTCAACTGGGGTCACACGCAGCAGCGGCAGCGTCACTCCCCCCCCCCCCCCCGCCATAACTGCGATAACTCGGCAAGAGCCTCCTGAAAAAAAAATTCTCGATGGGGCTTACCTGGGTAATCGAGCGGAATAATCATGCTCGTATGAAACATTTTTTTTTAATTATCTGTGCCTCAATGCTCCTGGCCGGCTGCTGGCTGGGCTCCTCTGCACCCCAACAATAACTTTATTGTTCGTGGCCACGGGCCGTGTAACTGGCTACCGGGGATTAAATCAATTCGGAACGTACGGGAGAAGTTGGGAGGAGAGGCGGGACAGTACTCGATAGCGACGCTGAAGAGGCAGGAGTCACGAATACAGAAGGCTGCCCATGGCAGGTTATTTAATGTCGCTCGGACTTCTCATCCCTTTCCCATTCCGATGACGTGCGTCACAGAACGTAATCAGAGGTACAAGGCCATGCGAGAGGGCGTTTGTGGTACGGTTTGGCGGCTGTCATAGAGTGGTGGCGGTAATCTCGCCACGGTTCTCTGCGGTGGCTACAACGTCTGTAAAAACAAAGGCGCTGCTACGACTACACGTCTCCTAAATGAAATTAACGCTAAACCCGCTCGTGCGTTCCAAGACTCGGCGGTGAACGGGATGACCCGCCGCACCCCGCAACTTGCAGACGTCTCGGAGCGGGAAAGGGGTTAAGGTAATTATTTCTCCAGAAATCTCTTTAAATTCTGGAGAATATAGATATAACAAACAAACAAAAAACCTCGCAATAGTTATTATCTTGGCATTTTATTACGACATAAAAAGGAAGATTACTGTCGGTGGTTCCAGTATAAGATTGTGGCAAGAGTAGTAAAGTGACCAGCTGCAGAGTGACAAGTTCTCCACTCTTGAGATGTTAACTTCCTCACCTGGTATGCAGGAGGTCGTGCGTTTGATCCCGACCCTGACGCCTGCTGCTGTATATTTGGAGTTCGCAGCGTCTCATTATCATCATCATCACGGTGGCTAGGAGATGTTAACTTCCTCGCCTGGTGTGCAGGAGGTCGTGGGGTTCCATCCCGACCCTGATGCCTGCTGCTGTATATTTGGAGTTTGCAGCGTCTCTCTCTCCCCGGTTTTTCCCTCCACACATTTAGAATCGGTGTCAGGCGCTTCGAGAGTGTTTGGCCGCTGCTATTCATGTCCACGCGGTGATGGTAATGACGACGACGATGATGATGAGCCACCTCGTTGAGCGATAATTTGTGATGGCCAGGTCACTTCTGAATAAGAGCTCTGTAGCTCAGTTGGGCCTTACCTGCTCAAATAAAACGTAGTTTTAGCTACGTAGTTTCAATGTAATGGGGCGTGCAGTCCGTGGACCCGGCCCCTCCGTGCGCTATCCCCCAAAGCCCCTCCCCCATAGCGTGGCCCCGCCCTTTCCCCAGGTGAATTAGGCACCCGCCGAAGTTAACTATTAAGAGTTTGTGCATGTCCACTGTACATACATGCGTACACAGACCTGTCAGCCCATACGGTTTACCCCGTATTCTTGTGCAGGGAAATTTGAGTGTTTCATGTCCACGCGGCGTACAGCCGTTTCAATGACGGGCTTTGTGTGATGAACGTTTAGATTTATAAGGGCACGGGGTGACCAATAAGGTCTGAATTGGTCTGTAGTAAGGTTGGCACTGATAAGGGGTTGACAGGTTTGCGTACATTATATATTTCACTCGCTATTTCACTCGCTATTATGAGACGTGATTAGCTAGTTGAATGCATTTATGGGAAATATCAAGGGTTGTGGTTGGATTATAAAGGCGTGAATTCCGGGGGGAGATTATAAAATCTCAACTTGGTCCATTCGCTGAGGTTTTGGGTTTTTTTCTCTCCTTCCCCTCCCCCCCCCGCCCGCAGAGTTCGTGGGTCCAATGTGTTGGGTTGTGTGGAGCGTTGGGTGGCTAAAACTCAGCAAGTTGGGGGGGGGGGGGGGGAGTTACTGCTGGTGCATCTAACGGGCCATCTCAGTCGGCCGACCCATGGCACCTGCCGGGTCTGTCCTGATACCTCCTGCCGCCGGGCCTTCGACACTTCACGTGGCCTCAAAGTGCACTTGGCCTGGCACAGGCGCCGTGTCGGTATTGGCCAAGGGGGCCCTCTCTGAGCCAAAGCATAACGGGCGACAGAGCCGTGACGTGTTTCTGTGTCGGCACCGAATGTTTGATGACAACGCTGTCCTCCAACAGGTGAGCGACAGCCAATTTCAGTGGCGGTGGTGGTGGGTATGGCAACATCTGACTTGTGGGCGACCCACTCATTTCACCCCGACTCAGTCTTACTCAAATGGCAATGGATGTTATTTTTTTGTAATCCCGTATATACAACAATCTGGGCTGTAAGTTTCAGTAGACTCTCGATGATCCGCGCTAATGGCGGGCAGGACGGCCGCGGATAATTCAAAGTCGCGGATATAGTTCAGAAAAATATTCATTTTTCCACGGGTCTCTATGCCAAAAACGAATGGTCGACCGATTGATGCGCTTGCTCAGTGATGACACTTTCCTGCTCCCGCGCAGAAGACTCGGCCCACGAAGTTGGTGACAGCACGCCAATCACCATCAATCAAACTCCACCTCACTGTTGTAAAGATATTGCAACTGCTGTACTGTAGAGGCGATCATGTGGATTTCAACTGAGCCGGATCACACATTTGTTCGGTTTAAGCACCATGTGGCTTGTAATAAACATTCCTAAGAGTAACAATGTATAACTAGATTTGAAGCTTTCGTGACTGCAAGGATTCATACTCTTTGTTTTTTTCGGTAAAGTCACGTAGGTAAAATTAAATTTAAAATAAAAGAAAACTAAATTATATCACGACGTTTCGGAGGCAACACAAGCGTTTGTTGCCTCCGAAACGTCCGTGATTTAATTTAGTTATTTTATTTTAAATTAAATTTTACCTATGTGACTTTACCGAAAAAAAAAACAAAGATCATGTATAACTGTTATGAGATTACTCGCCTTTTGCCCGTCCAAGGACGGGTGTATTGCAGTAAATCTGAAACTTGCAAACGAAAAGCAGAGCATGACGTGATATTGCATTATTCAGTGCAATTTGTAAGGGCGCTGTGACACAGACCTATTTCATTTAGAGGTTATAATCCCTGGTTCGTCACGACGTCCTTTTTACTTCTATGTCTCAATAGCGTGACGGAGAGCGCGAGACGTGAGGGTTCTGCCTTCGCAGTGAGGGTTGTAAGTTGATGCTGAGGAGGGGGGAGCAGGCGCCTCGGACCCCCATGTGGAGTGACGTCAGCCGCTAATTATTATGAATGGAGGGGGGGTGTCCATTTGAAGGACGTCACCTGGTCATGA